GTTGATATAGGGGCCTTAAGGGTATAGGGTTTAGGGTATAGGGTTTAGGGTTTAGGGTTTAGAGTTTAGGTAGGGTTTAGGGTTTAGGGTTGATGATGTAAATCCTGCACTTGCCTTAAGGACCCTGAACTATGGGAATTATGGTATATTCCTTACCATGAGTAATGCAGGACTTTTATCATCAGCCCAGTGTATTGTATGGGAGTAGAGTAGGGTAAAGTGTAGGATAGTATAGTACAACATAGTACAGTACAGTACAGTAGAGTGTAGTAAGGGGTTCGAGAGGATTGAAAGGGGAGTTGGGTTTCCAAGTCTGTTGCGGGGTATAAATGAAGAGTTCGGGTTCAGGGTTTTGGATCGGAAGGTTTCATGCTCTACCTTGACCTACCATAACCTACCCTTTTGTAGGCTCTTATTATGAACTCTACAATAAAGAGTCTTCAGGCACCCTACGAAAAAAGTAGGTTTTGGTAGGTTAAGGTATTCTGGCCTTCGGGAAATGGATTTCTGATGCAGCCACGTCCTGCAGACCTCTCATCACACCCCCTTGCCATGCTTTGCCCAACATTACCAAGCCAAATGAACCCTTCTCAAAGCACCTTCCGGGTTTGGAACATCCATTTTCAAGGCTCGTAAAGGCATAACCCGAAACTCTAAACCCGCAAATCCGTAAACCCAAACCTCAAAACCCCAAACTCGAGCCCACAATCCGCCGAACCCCGATCCCCGACCCTGAACCCTGTACTCCCTGACCTCGAAAACCCAAACCTCCAAACCCCAATGCCGGAACCCCTTGTGGTTCAACCTTTAAAGCCTTGCTTGCCTGCCGATTGATCCTTCAAATCCCAAAGCCCCAAAGCTCTAAAATCCTAAGCAACATTTCCAAGAGTCGCTGGTTGAATGCTTTTATAGTCCTTAAACCCTAAACTCAAAGCCCGAAACCTAAACGCTACCTTATAGTCCCCAAACCCTAAACCCTAAACCCTTTCATCTATGGCTTTATGGTCCCTTCATAAAGTTGCAAAGCCCTCAGCCCTAAACCCTATAGTCCCTAAGCCCTAAACCTGTGTATATATATATATATACATATATACAGATACATATATATATATATATACTTATATATATATATATATACATACATACATACATACTTATACTATGCGTATGCACATATGTCTATATATATATATATATATATACACATGCATATCTATATATTCATTTATGCATATTGCCTTCTAGTCCCTTCATAAAATCCCCCTAAAGCCCCAAGATGGCAGGATCCGAGAAGCCGAAGCGAAGCGCCAGTTCCTTCGCGCCGCAGAGCTTGCGTTGGGAGGTACCATTGAGCGTTCAGGGTTTAGGGTAACCCTGATTTGTTGTTATGAGGGTTGAGGGTTGAGGGTTTAGGGTTTGGGTTATGGGGGTTTAGGGTTTGGGGTTGTGGGTTTTTTTGTGTTTAGGTTCTGGGATTGTTGTTGAGGGTTTCGAGGGGTTTTCGATCCGCGGGGGTGTAGGTTTTTGAGTTTGTTGATATTTTGTTTTTAGGGGTTTGAAAAGGGCTCGGGTTTTGGGCCGTTTCGGGTTTTCATATCCCCCATCCCTGCATAACCTAACATTGGCGAGAGCCGTCGACCATCATCGGGCCAATGGAGTCCTATCCTGTATTGGTGTGACAGCTGGGCCCTTCGAACGGTTTAAGGGTTTATTAAACCCTAAACCCTAAACCCCAAACCCTAAACCCTAAACCCTAAACCCTAAACCCTAAACCCTAAACCCTGAACCCTAAACCGTTAGTTGGCTTCCAGGACCCTCGGGGTACTTGTCAGCCAATTCCGTTCAAAATTTGGACGCTGTGGCTGCCACTGCCGCTCGGCAACGGCCACCGCTGCTGCTGTCGCTGCTGCTTCTACTGCTGCTACCGTTGCTACTGCTGCTACTGCTCCTGCCACTATGGCTGCTACTAGGTCTACTACTGGTCCGGCTGTTGCTCCCACCACTTCCTTTTGCGACACCTAGCCCGATCCCCACCCGCATCCCCGCGCCTACTCCAACCCCCGCTCCCACTTCGATCCCACTTCTAGTGCTGCCGCTGCTCCTGCTGCTGCAACCGGTGCTCCTCCTCCTCCTACTACTACTACTACTACTACCACAACGACGACAACGACTGCTACCACCACTACTACCAATACTACCACTACTACTACTACTACTACCACCACCACCACCACCACCACCACCACCACCACCACCACCACTACTAACACCACCACCACCACCACCACCACCACGACTACTATTACTACTGCTACTACTGCTACTACTACTACTACTACTGCTGCTACTACTACTACTACTACTACTACTACTATTTCGACCTCTATGTCCATTTCTACGATGCTAAACCCTAAACCCTAAACCCAAGCCCAGTGATAGGTGAATAAGGGGCTGAAGGTAGCTCAAAAGCCTGCCCAGCATGGGCTTGGAAGACGCATCGCTGCGGACACCACAAGGGCCCTCAAAAAAAGCCCTAAACCCTAAACCCCTAAACCCCTAAACCCCTAAACCCTAAACCCTAAACCCCTAAACCCCTAAACCCCTAAACCCTAAACCCCTAAACCCCTAAACCTTAACCGCTCTGCCCAAGCTCAGATGAGGCCTCCCAGAACTGCATCCTGCAACCTAACGCGCAAGCTCTGGGGCCGAATATTCAGGCAAAAAAGATCCAGAGAGCCCAACCCCTTAATTAAGGAATATACCTTTAAAGGGTTTGGGTTTAGGGTTTGGGGTTTCGGGTTAAGGAATATACTTTAAATCATAATATTAAGGCCCCTATAATTTAAGGTATATTCCTTATTCAAGGGGTATTGGGTTCTCTGGGCCTCTGGACTAAAGAACAGAAGAGAAGAGAATACAATATAGCATAGTGTAAAATAGAGGAATATCAGGGTAGGTCCTTACCACGACAGGGTTTAAGTGCACACTGACAAGCTTTCCAACCACAACGACAAGCTTTTTTCTTACACTGACAAGGGTTTAGGGTGGCCACCATTTTGGCAAATTTTAACAATCAAGTCTATCAAAACGGTGCTTCCCCCGCTTGTTTGGGGAGGGGTGGTGGTGGAGAGAGGGGGGCACGCGCGGGAATCACCATCTTGGCATTTTCGGAGCCTAAATCCTCCAAAATGGTGATTCCCCGCGGGTGGTGATGGAGAGAGGCGCGCGAATCACCATTTTGCCATTTTCGGAGCCTAAATCCGGGAATCACCATTTTGCCATTTTCGGAGCCTAAATCCTCCAAAACAGTGATTCCCCTGTGGGTGGTGGTGGAGAGAGGGGGGCACGTGCGGGAATCACCATTTTGCCATTTTCGGAGCCTAAATCCTCCAAAATGGTGATTCCCCCGCGGGTGGTGGTGGAGAGAGGGGGGCACGCGCGGGAATCACCATTTTGCAATTTTCGGAGCCTAAATCCTCCAAAATGGTGATTCCCGCGAGTCACCATTTTGCCAATGGCAAAAAGACCAGTTCAGAGGCATCCGCGCCGAAAGACCAGCTGATATGTGCTGCTGCTGCTGCTGCTGCTGCTGCTGCTGCTGCTGCTGCTGTGTCCTGCTGCTGCTGCCGGTCCTGCTGAGGTTTTAATCCCTTATCATGGTGAGGTTTTCATGCCTTGTCGTGGTGAGGTTTTCATGCGCTGTCGTGGTAAAGTTGTGTTTCTGTCGTGGTGCCAATATTTCTTGTTATGGTGTGGATTCTTTTTGGCTGTCGTGGTAACAACGCGCTCTCAGAGGAATATAGTATAGTATGGTATACCATAGCTTAGTATAGTATAGTATGGTATAGAATACAGAATCGAATCTAATGATTTTGACCCCCCTTGCAGATCCGGCCAACGACCACGGCTCACAGTGGCCACTGGAGGCTCTGATCCCCGGACGCCACTCGGCGGACACGGCTTAGGGTTCAGGGTTATAGGGTCTAGAATTAAAACCCAGCGAAAGCAACAGGAACGGCACAACAGTGTTTTTGATCTCAGCAGGTAGACTGGGTCCACAATTGAACACCAGGAGTGGTCATAGTAACCAGAATGAAACCATGCATTCTACACGAAAATGCAGTGTTGCAGTGTCTGCATAGTGTCTGCATCTTCCAGTGCAGAAAGCGTCAACTCTTCAAGATCTGCAGTTTAGGATAGAGCGTTTGCTTTTTCTTGGACTGTGCTGCACTTCGGGTTTCTGGACAGCCTGGGCAAGAAGCAACGAGCAGATGCTGAGATCAAAAGCACACAAACTTATGTGCATGCTCTGATTCCTGTCGTTTCTTTTCTGTGTTCGCTATCGTGACAATGAGCATTCTTGTTGTTGTTGTTGCCCCTGAAAGTGGTCATTTCCAGCATGTTATCACTCCATGCGCTAATCTGACGCCTTGTTGTGAAACAGTCGCGGCAAGGGTCTTCTAAGTTCTAGCTGTTTCTATGATTCTTGCAATTGCGGGCATGTCTATGACCATTGGATGCCGACCTTTCTTGCTCCGCTTCCGGATTTCATCGGTATTGAGAGCCGTCACGTCACATGTTGACCCATGGGGCACTTCACTCTCAGCGGCGCATTGTGCCAAGGTTTCATATCGCATGGCACGCTTCCCATCCACTCACTCTGTGCCTGTTGTATCCGTGGGTCTTGCACTCTGCCATGTGGCTGTCTCCGTGGACGCAAAGGCGTGATTAAGCCTAAACTGTAAACCCAGAACCCTAAACCCTAAACCCCTAAACCCTAAACCCTGAACCCTAAACCCTAAATCCTAAACCCCTAAACCCCCATGGCCCTAAACCCTAAACCCTAAACCCTTAAATTCTAAATTCTGACACCTGAAGCTCCTCGCTGAGAGAGCAAGAGAAAGGGGCGTCCCTCAATCTAAAAAAAACACCCTAGACCCTAAATGTGTACCAAGCCCTAAACCCTAAAGCCTAAAGCCAAAACCCTGAAGCCTAAACCC